CAAAGAGCATAATTATTCACTGAATTGAATATGTAGAAACTTGAATTGGTGTGTGCTTTTGTTTAGTATATTCTAAACAATAAAATAAATTATATACATGAAAATGGGAACTTTCCCTTTTCTTAAAAATACCTTAAGCTGTCTTACCTAAAAATGCTATATATTTGCTATCTGATTTTTATATTCTTTCCTTCATGTTACATGCCTTTAGACTCTGTAGAATAATAGTTTTGCTCTAGTGACGGACTGTATTGAAATGATGGCTTTGTACTCATTGTTTTCAAGTACTTTTGTCTGTCACTTGCTTTATTGATTTGTATATGTGAACCTTTCCATGTTTTTTGAAACAAAAACTTTCTTTTCTATTTTCCTCATTAGTATTTCAGATCTGTACCATTGGCTAGATTTATGATGCTATTATTATTAGAATTATCAATTATTGAATGCAGGTTACTTATACTGTAATTACTCAGGAAGCTAATATGCTACCCGTGAAATGAACTAAGCCATATGCCGTTGTTAAGTGCTGTCTGTTGTTGTTGTTAAATGCCATCGAGTCAATTCCGACCCATAGTGACCCTGTATAGGGTTTCCTAGGAGCAGCTGGTGAGCTTGAACCGCCAACCTTGCAGTTCAAATGGCTTTGCAGTCTGGCGCATTAACCCACAGCGCCACAAAGTACTGTGTAGTCAGTTCCAATTCATAGTGACTCTATGTAGGGTTTCCAAGGAGTAACTGGTAGTTCTAAACCTCCAGTCTTACAGATAGCAGTCCATTGCTTATTCTACAGTGCCACATCAGGACTCTAAACTGCATATATATGTGTATATGTATTGTTGTTGGTAAGTGTCATCGAGTTTGTTCTGACTCATTGCAACCCTGTATAGGGTTTCCAAGGAACAGCTGGTAGATTTGAACCACTGACCTTGTGGTTAGCAATCCTGTGCTTATCCTACAGTGCCATGCCTAGAGCCCTTATATATCTGTGCATATAAATAAACAGGGTACATTCTATGGATTTGACTTGGATTTGAGTTACCACCTATTTTGTTTGTTTGTTTGTGGAAAACTAAGGTTTATTGTGGGAGTCCCCCTAACTACCTTGACATAAACTCAACTTCCAATGAATTCATTCTGACTATAAGCCAGCATTATAACAAGCTTTATCCTCAGTCAGAATATGTTTAAAAGCAGATTGTACAACTTCCCTAGCCAGCCCAGGGAGGGGCAGTCTTACCCGCAGGGACATGCCTGGGCCAGTCACTAATGGCAATTAGGGGACCAGAGCTATGTGGTCATGAGTCACACTTTACCAAGGAGGCTGGAGGGCCCAGCACCAATCCTTTAAGCTTTTCCAGTCTATAGTAGTGTAAGTATCCCACTCAGGGTTCCTCTCCCACTCCTGGAGTCCCACGGTGACAGTGACTACTTGATCTACCTACCATAAATCATGATTTGGGGGCATTTCCTTTGGTTTCTGTGTTCTATAACTAGCCATGTGGTCATGAATTCTTTGGACTCTATTATGGCTTCATACTGATGGTCTCCCTTATCTGGATAAGTTGTATTCATCTTGTCTCTGTCCTGTTTAAGACTTAATAAAAGGGGTCTCTATCTAAAGCGTTAAAAAAAAAAAAAGATACCTTACCTATCCAGTAAAAACAAAATCCTCATTAATTTTAGTACCCCAAATTTTGTCTTGATACTTGAGGAATTATGTTACTTCAATTTATTATTGCTTTCCATGACTCTTATTTTAGCATTTGCAGAGTAGGTTCATTCCTAAGACTTTAGAAGCATGTTTCATTTAATAGTTCTAATTAATTTATGTGTATGTTGAATAATAAAACCCTGTTGTTAAGTGCCTTTGAGTCAGTTCTTACTCACATCGACCCTATATGGGATTTCCAAGGAGCAGCTGGTGAATTTGAACCTTGCAGTTCAAACCAACCGTGCATTATCCCACAGCGCCACACCAGGACTCCAATAAAACCTTGCTTAGTGGTGGTTATGTGCCACTGAATAGGCTCTGACTCATAGCGACCCTGTGTAGGTTTTCCAAGGCTGTAAATCTTCACAGGAGCAGAAAACCTCATCTGTCTCCCACAGAGCAGCTGGTAGATTCGAACTGCTAACCTTGCAATTAGCAGCTCAGCTCGTAGCTCACTACACTACCAGGTTGCTCCTTCATAAAATCCTAGAGAATATAAATAGACCTGAACAGTGACTGCTATATGATAAGCACTGGACTGCAAGCCAGTCAGCCACTCCACAGCAGAAAAGGTAGACTTTCTGTTTCCATGAAGATTTAAAGCTTCAGAATTCCTGCGCAAGGTCGTTATGAGTCGGGATCAATTCAAGGACATTTAACACCAACATCCACAGTGTATCATGTAAGATATTAATGTATCCTGATGGTTCAAGCTTACCAGCACTCCTCAGTAACCCTATACAAGGTTGCTAAGATTCAGAACCAACTCGATGGCACTTAACAACAACAAACAGTTTCACAAGAGTTTCCCACCCTCTCCTATCAGAAAATTGTTGTTATGTGCCATAGAGTTGGGTCTGACTCATAGCAACCCTGTTTAGGGTTTCCTAGGAGTGGTTGGTGAGTTTGAACTACTGACCTTGCTGTTAGCAACCCAGTGCTTATTCTACAGCATCACACCAGGACTGACTCACCTATCATAAAATACATGATCTAACACAGAAATTGACAACACAGAATAAAAAATTGAAGATTCATCTAAGAATTTAGAGACAAAAATTATTTTTCCAAAACTTATGTGCATCAAACAATTTCACCAACAGAGTAAAAAGGGAGCCCACAGAATGAGAAAAAAATCATTTGCATTGACATATCAGACAAGGAACTAATCTTTAAAATCTATAGGAAACTACAACACCTCTACAAGAAAAAGACAAATAACCCAATTTAAAAATTGGCACATCCTTTAGTTGTTTAAATGAGTATATATTTCTGAATGTTTTTGTGTACATTAAAAAAAAACACAACCACAGGGAATAGAAGCAAATACTGTTAAATGATGATGCTTGGCAAGGATTGTAATCATTGCAATGAAAACAAACTATGATAAGATTAATGCAAAACCGATGTTCTCCCATGGAAACTATCACTTAATTCACAATAAAACCTTAAAAAAATTCTGTTTCCAAAACTCGCAGCAGCCCTTTGGGACAGAACAGATCTCCCCTAAGCTTTCCGAGACTGAACACTTTTACAAAAGCAAAATGCCACATTTTTCTCTTGAGGAGCAGCTGGTGGGTTCAAACCTCTGACCTTTCTGTTAGCAGCCCACTGCTTAACCTACTACACCACCAGGGCTCTTCCAGGTATTTTAGCATGTGGTAACTTATAAAATAGGATTTGTTGTTTTAAGAATAAGTGTTTTGATTTCCTGTTTCTGTGTTGTAATATTTTGCCCATATTTACGTTTGTTTGGGTTTTTTTTTTGACCTTTTATAGTTCTTATCGCCTTTTTCACATTTTGGAAATAAACATTCATTTTTATTTATTTTCACTTTTTTTTTTAAGTTTTTTATTGTAGATTGAGTGAAAGTTTACAGGGCAGATCATCAGTTTTACATT